CGGGGCACCACTGTACAAGTTAACCACATTCTCTCCTGGTTTCTTTTCCTTTCCTTTCCTTTCCTTTCCTTTCCTTTCCTTTCCTTTCCTTTCCTTTCCTTTTTTTTTTTTGGAGCAAAACAAGTAATGAATCTCTGTTTTAAACTAAATGCTAAGCAAAGGACCATGTTTTTTTTCTTCTTCTGCTTGTGAGCCTAGAGCAAATGGGTGCAATTAGCTCATACATGTAAAGCCATGGTTTATGGCTGGGCCATTGTATGGCTGCAGTGAAAAAGGCAAATTAAGAAAGGGACTGGAATTTTGCCTAGCCGATAACAACATGAAACAAGTGTGGCAGGGACCGCAACATCTCACCAACTACAAGGGAAATACGAGGAACACTGTTAAGGCCAATGATTTGTTGGCAGAGGAGCTGAACATCTTCTTTGCCCGCTATGAGGTAAAAAGATCGGGTATCTTAGCTCCTGCCTCCCAGCCTACAAACTCTCAGCCACTTATTCTATATGACCATCAAGTGAAAGCTGCATTGAGGGCGGTGAATCCCAGTAAAGCTGCTGCTCCAGTTGGGGTGCTGGGGATAGTGGTAAAAAACTGTGCTGATCAACCAGCAGGGGTCATACCAAGGATTTTTAACATCTCTATGCAAATGGCTTGTGTTCCATCATGTTTGAAAGCAGCCACCATTGTCCCAGTCCCAAAGACAACAGCAACTAACTGCCTAAATCACTACAGACCTATTGCATTAACATCTGTAATGATGAAATGCTTCAAGAGATTGGTCCTTCAACACCTTAGGACATGTTTTCCACCGGATTTTGATAAACATCAGTTCGCCTATAGGAGAAATAGGTCAACAGATGATGCCATAGCTACAGCCTTTCACCTTGCAGCGAGTCATCTGGAGAGACCGGGGAATTATGTTAGAATGTTGTTTATTGATTATAGCTCGGCTTTTAATACCATCCTTCTGGACATTCTTATCAAAAAGCTGATGGAGCTAGACCTTTCTTCTACCATCTGTGACTGGATTAAAGACTTTCTGAGGGATCGGACACAAACAGTGAGGATTGGGCCTGTTACATCTACCTCCCTGAAGCTCAGCACTGGCACCCCACAGGGATGTGTGCTGAGCCCCTACCTGTACTCATTGTATACATATGACTGTATTTCATCTGATCCATCCACTGTAATTATTAAGTTTGCAGATGATACTACCATAATGGGTCTAATTACAGGTGGAGATGAATCAGCGTACAGGGGGGAGGTTCAAAAAGTATCTACATGGTGCTTAGAGAATAACTTGCACCTAAATATTAGCAAGACAAAGGAGATGGTGTTGGACTTTTGGAGGAAGAGAGGGGAACTAGCCCCGTTGTATATTGGGGGGGGGGTTGTGTGGAGAGAGTCTCTTCCTTTAAATTCCTGGGAGTTTACCTTAGTGAAGACCTCACTTGGAAAAACAATATAACTCAGGTGGCTAGGAAGGCCCAACAGAGACTCCATTTTCTCAGGGTCTTGCAAAAGAACAACATTAAACAACAATTGATGACCTCCTTCTACCAGTCCATAATAGAAAGTGTCCTCTCATTGTATCACAGTGTGGTACGTTGACTTGACAGCCACAGACAGAAAGTCTTTACAGAGGGTGGTGAACACAGCACATGATATCATGGGCTGTCCCCTGAGCCTGCTAAATGACATCACAAGGGATCATTGCCTTAGGAGAGCGAGAAAAATTCTCAGGGACGATTCACAACCTGGCCAGCACCTCTTTAATCTTCTACCCTTGGGCAGGAGATATAGAAGTATAATCAGTTGTACCAACAGGTTAAAAAACAGTTTCTACTCTGGGAATCTCTGAGCAGAACCCTCCCTGACCTTTCTGGAGTAAATTCACCTGAGTCAGGCCATGCCATCACAAAAACAGTTATTCACTTACAAGGAAGGTGGAAGATATATTGCTTAATGCCAACCTCTCAAGACTTTAGGGCCACACAGTGCAGTAAACCTACTAGTCAGGAATGTGACATCTGCATATCCAACAGGCCAGTTGCAGCTCTGCCACTGCATCTTTTTTCAGTGACCTTGAGTTGGCCTGTTTGCCACCCTGAAACTGAGTCATGCCAGTAGTCAAAAATAAAGTTGTTGTTGGCATTGATGTATTATGAGTAATTGTAGGATATCTAGGTGAAAGGTGCTATTATACCACTAAGTGACACATTTGGCACATAATGCATTCATGGAGATAGGCTAAGCGCATTAATTTATGCTGTTAGCTGGTTCAGTAGTTATCTTCAAAGAGCCGCATATTCATTTGCTTCATACTTTTCATTGGTTGGCTGTTAAATATTTCACCATTTAGTGTTAGGGATGCTAAAATATTGCTACCTCCTACAGATTTATGCTAGGTTATTGCACTCAATTTTCTAACATTCAGAAATCATCACTAGTCCCAGAGTCTCCTCTTATTTCTCCTTCCTTTCTGTGACCTTTTGCTCTTATCATATATTTTACATGGGATGTGACGGAGAGTGAATTGTTTAAATTACAAGCTGTAAAGAGAGATGGGAATCTAATAAAGTGTTGAGAGAAGAAGCAAATCCCTTTTCAAATGGCAAGAGACTTAGGCTGTATATTTTTCAGCCTGCCATTCAGATACAGATTTAATCAAGGAAAACAGAAGAACATTGCAGCTGGATGCTGAAAACTCTTTATTATTCTTGTGTTACTTGTTTATATGCTCTTGTTCCTCTGCAGCTTCATAAAATAATTTCTCTGGGCAAACACAGTGGTCAGATACTTATCTAATACATGGATATAGCTAGCAAGAAGTACTTAGTGAGACTGAATTGTGGGGAGAAAAGCAACCTGATTTCAGCCATTGCACACACAACTGTTTTACTACCGTTGTGTACTGTTGTGTTGTTGAGTCTTAATGTTACACAACCAATACCTTTTGGAAAGTTTTTATATGCTCTCTGGTTGAATGAATGGTTTATTGGCATTTTATGTATCGGTATAAATACCGACTCTGGGGCTGCGGCGCTCATCTCGCTTTATTGGCTGAGGGAGCCGGCATACAGCTTCCGGGTCATGTGGCAAACATGACTAAGCCGCTTCTGGCGAACCAGAGCAACTCACGGAAACGCCGTTTACCTCCCGCTAGAGCGGTACCTATTTATCTACTTGCACTTTGACGTGCTTTCGAACTGCTAGGTTGGCAGGAGCAGGGACCGAGCAACAGGAGCTCACCCCGTCGTGGGGATTCAAACCACCAATCTTCTGATCGGCAAGTCCTAGGCTCTGTGGTTTAACCCACAGTGCCACCCATGTCCCTATACACCAGATACCGTATTTTTTGCCCTATAGGACGCACTTTCCCCCCTCCAAAAATGAAGGGGAAATGTGTGTGCATCCTATGGGGCGAATGCAGGCTTTCGCTGAAGCCTGGAGAGTGAGAGGGGTTGGTGCGCACCGACCCCTCTCGCTCTCCAGGCTTCACGAAGCTATCCGCAAGCCATGGGAGCCCGGCGCGAAGTCGCGCAGCTCTCCCATGGCTTGCGGAGAGCTGCCTGCACCCAGAAGCCTGGGGCGCGCTGAGCTCAGCGCCCCCAGGCTTCGGGCTTCGCGCAGCTCTCCGCAAGCCGTGGGAGAGCTTTGCGACTTCGCGCAGCTCTCCCACGGCTTGCGGATAGCAGCCTGTTCTGGGGGCTGGGGTCGGGGGAAGCTCGGGCTTCCCCCACCCCAGCCCCGCGCCTGGGGGAAAAAATAATTTCCCCCCTTTATTTCTCTCCCCAAAAAACTAGGTGCGCCCTATGGGCCGGTGCGCCCTATGGGGCGAAAAATATGGTACTTATATATAAAAACTTGAATAAAGAGTAATTGGTGCAGAAAAGAAGTGTCTGAGAGGTTTGGCTTCAGATATCCTATTACAACCCCCCCCCCAAGGGATGTAGAAATTGAACTGCCTAGAACTTGAAATTCATAATGTTGAACCTTTCATTGTGATGCTGTAATCTTCAAGGGATACTTGGACCACTTGTAAATGTATGCTGTTATCAAGCTGACATTTGAATTACAGAATGCTGTCCTAAACTTGCACAATTCCTCTGGTTCTAATGCCATAATCTTCAAGGAAGATATTCACTGCACTGTCTTTTTTCACTTTTGTTGCTTCATTTGATGATATTGGGGTTGAGCACCAACTTTCATTCCAATGTCTCAGTAGTCAAAGAAGATATCACAGTGTGCTGTAACTGAAAACAGATGCAGGATTTGAGCTGATATTCAAATATGAATGTTGATTTGTGCCCTGGACGTATGTATCAAATTGCTTTCTGATACCTGACTTTAAGATCATAAAAATGAGCCTCAGAAAAAGCAAATTTGGCAAAATACATTCATCCCTATAATAATTAGGGAATATTCTATTTGCTGTCATAACATTTGTTTCATTTGCTCTTAAAGGCATGCCAACTGGTGGATTCTGATTCAGCTTTCAAAAATGATTTCATTTCACCCTTTTCAAGCTCTACCTGATAACCAAATGCCTGATCAAAGCCTTAGTCTTTTTGTGTTTTACAGAATATATTTGGATTTATATGCTTTTAAGAGGTTGAAACAAATTTTTAATATGGCACAGTCAACAGCAGAGCACCTTCTAAAATGCCTACCTGCAACTTTGGGGAGATTCCATTCCTTGGAACTGGCATTATAGAGTTAGATGGAACAGTGGTTTCTATGTGTGTGAATTCAGAAATGTGTGAAGTAACACTAGGAACATACCAAGTTCATTTTGTATTAGGGCATTTGGCAGTTTCCACATAGGCTAAAAGTTGAAAGTAAAAAGAAAACCTCATGGGTTTAAACTCTCATTTGCTTAGGAGAGTTGACAGCCCGGCAGAGGCATTTGCCTTGGGTTTCTTCTAGAAGTGCCATTCCTTGCTAAAGAAAATTGGAGGCAAAAACAACACCTGAGTACTTTGTTTCCTCTTCTGCAGGGCAAGAGCTGGATTGTGAAGCGCAGCTATGAAGATTTCAGAGTGCTTGATAAGCATCTTCACCTGTGTATTTATGACCGACGCTTCTCCCAGCTCTCGGAGCTACCCCGCTCCGATGCTTTGAAGGACAGCCCAGAGGTAAAATATTATGGTTGTCACTAGTTAAGGAAGCTGCAGACAGGCAGGAGCATGTTGCCTTTTTATTATGCCTTTTTATTATCTATTATTATTCTTAATTGCCTTTTAACATGAACATTTTATTGTTATCTAAACTATATGGGGAAGCTCTTAGTTGTAACTATGGGAGCAGTTCATTGCTTTCAAACAAGAAGAAAGCTCAGATAAGAGGTAGGCAAATTATTAAAATCTACAACCATGCTTTTTCAGCAGAAAGAGAGGGTTGTGCTGTCTATTAGAGTTTAATTCATTTTCAATGTTTGATATTTCTCTAAACATTTACTATAAGATATGAACAGAAAAAGGAGTGTACTTTTACAGGAAAACATAACTGTTAGGCATGGGGAATATCCTCACTTTTTCTTAAAGATATGTGATGCTCTGGATTATCATGTACAAACTATTTTGAAATTTATGAAATTCAGGTGTGTGTGTGGTTTTTTTTAAAAAATTAAACCCTGTACGCAATCTCTTTCAATAAAAATGTATGTTCTTATGTTCTTAAGATATAAGGGCAATAAAAAGTGTTGCCTCTCCAAGTGCAACTTCACAACTGTATGGCTTTGTTAGCATATTTTTCAGAATAATTAATTCAGTATAGAATCATAAGAATACCAAGGGTCATCTAGTCCAACTCCCTGCTATGCAGGAATCTCAGCCAATGCATCCATGACACATGACGATCCAACCTCTGCTTAAAAACTTCAAGGAAGGAGAGTCCACCACCTCTTGTGGGAGTCTACTCCACTGTCGAACAACCCTTACTATCAGAAAGTTCTCTTTTTTCTTAAGGCCATTTGAGAGATAGTATTTTATTACTCCTTGCGACAATTCAGAAAAAATATGTTCAAATTACTTGTTATCTGATGTTACAAAGGGCATTCCAGTTACGAGAAAACAGGAGCCTCATGGTTTGCTCAGCAATTCTCAGGTCTGCACGTAAAACGAAAAGCAAATCAATCCACATAATCCCTAGCAGGAACCCCCACTGAGCCATACTTGATGTGCCAACGGGAAAGCATGGCTTGGACTGGAGATATACTCTTCTTTTTTTGGCAGATGAAATTCATGGCAAATGGAAGGTATCTAAGGTATCTAGTGAGAAGAAGTCTCTCATCTGGTAACATTTTTAGGTTATAAGGCGTAGCAATTATTATTTATGTCTCTACTTCCCTGGTTCACAGAATCCTAGGAGGCAGGAAAATATTTTTATGCTTTCTCCAGCAAATTGTTGGCTTCGGCTGGCTCATCTTGAAGTCTGAAACTTGGATACTCTGCATCAGCAGAATTATATTGTTCCTTCCTCCCTCTCTGCAGCTTGTCACCCAGATGCTGATGGCTTACCTGTCACGACTCTCATCCATTGCTGGAAACAAGATAAACTGTGGTCCTGCCCTCACCTGGATGGAGGTACTGTAGGGTATATGACATTGTGTTGCATAATGTGCCTGAGTTTTTGCTAGCTTGTCAGATGCTTTGTATTACAACCTTGCAAATTGCAAATGGAGCACAAGTATAAAATGTTACAAAGCTAGAAGTTGCTGCTTATAGCAATTTCCCCTATTCTGGTAGCGTTGCAGAGGGCCATGTAAGATTAAAATTAAAGAAGCAGATATTCTAGAAGGATTAAGCCCCCACCACTGAATTGTTTTATAATATATGAAGCATGATACACTGACTTTTTTTAAAAAAAAATGGATTTGGGTAATATAAAGGGTACAACTCTAGGGAAAGGAGGGTTCCATAAATGCCTGTGGAATGCATTCTGTATCTTTTGCACTCCCTGTTAGTGTGGTGGTATCGCAAAATAAAATTTATGTACTTACATATTTATAAACTGCCTCACTGCGAGAGACTATGGAAGTAGTACATAACAAGATAACATGAGAGATTTGAAAAGAGACAAACTCTAGAAATAATGGGCGGGGGGGGGGGAGGTCTACCATTGTACAGCTAATATTCCACAGCTGACTGCGTCATTGTTCAGGGAAAACGTTTCTAAACAAAAACATTTTCATTAGCTGCCTAAACATGAAGTCTTACGGAGCGAATGCAGGCGGGAGGCTCTGCTCAGCGCTCCCTTTAAAAAGTCGCATGGAGCGTGTGTGCGGCTCTTGGGGGCTTTTCCCCGAGGAGGGAGTCCCTCCTCTTAGAGTCCACTTGCCTGACAGGAATTAAAGGAGTGAGGAAATCCCTTAGGTAGCCTGGTCTCAAGCAGAACCTGGAATTGCCCTGAGGAACAGAATTAAGAATTCCCTTTATTCTATTCATTTGAATAAGTACAGCAACTTGTAAATGGCAAACATTGATTAGCTTGTTATTTAGGTTTGTTCCCAAGCAGTGCCCTGAGGGCCATGATGCTAGGAGTGTGTGGAACATTGGGGACAAAAACGGATTTTTGGGGTGATGTTTCACAACTCCCTTATCCCCACTTAACTCTGTTGTTGCCTCTTTGAAGCTGTTTCTTTGCCTAATATGAATAATATGTATTTTTTTCTTTAGAAACGAGGGAGGTCTTCTTCCAGATAATTAGGGATCATGTGGGCAACATGGATCATATTGTGCCACAGGTGGTCAGATTTGGCAACATATCAACATCACAAAGCCAAATCAAAGTGAGGGTGGAAGCACTGCTGTCACTCTGAATAGGCTTCTTGATGATTCAGTGTAGTCTAGATTTGACTATATGATGTTATAAAACCAAATCAAATTCAGCCTTGGTTCCTGGCCTCACTTCTGGTTGAGTGAGCATTTTTTAGCACCTTTCACAATTTCCACCCTTAAAAAAAACAATCACTCTGGGCCCTAAATAGAAGTACTGTAATCCTCTGTTTGCACTGAATGTGTACTCAGCAAAGAGCTGCAACCCCCAAAATGCTGATGATGCCTACTTGGTACGTGTATGATAACATTTTTATCACATTCTTATTTTGTACATTTTTAGTTGTACACCTAAAATTCCTGGCACTGTGTTACGAGAATGAAACAAATTCATAAGCAAGATAATGACACGCTTTAAATCAACAGCACTTTTGCTATTATCAGGCTGGGGCGGATGTACACATAGGTCATACACCAAGATTGTAATGTGAGCAGTAGAGAGAACTATCAGTAGAAAGGCTGGAATGCCCCCCCCAAGCCATTAATACAAGTTCTTAGGAACAGCCTTTCCATACTACCATAAAATCTGCCGGCCTGTTACTTTAGTTGTCAAGAAAGGTTATACAGATTTTTGTTAAAACATGTTGTGGTAAAAGAAAAAGGTGCACAAGTTCAATATTTTTATTGCTATGTGAGGAGGCCTATCCTTTAGAAAATGGTGTGATTTAACTTCCATTCCGATGTCTCAGTATTCAAGGGAGTTATCACAATGTATTGCATTTTCCTCCCATTTTAGAAAACAGGTGCAGGCATCAAGCTAGTATTCATTTTTTAAATGTTGGTTGTGCCTTGAACGTTTCCACCAAATGGCACTGTGATATATCAATGTTAGCTGTTACAGTGTGGCAAATGAATATAAGGAATATGAACAGGGAGTTGAAACTGGTTAGCAGAGCCTAGCGAAGTGGAGACCTGGTTATACAGTAATGTGCTAATGCTGCGATAAAACAATGACGCACAATTCCATTTCCTGTTTAATAGGTGAAAAGGAAACCTGTCCTTTAGAAACCTGTTCGTGCTTATATTGCCTCTAATGTACTTCTTTTTACAAGGAACTCTTCAAGCTCTGTTGTGTCTGTCAACCAACATGAACCCCACCTCCCTCCATGCACACAGTGACAGAACCAGTCTACAAAGCCACATGTTCTCAGCTGCTTCACAGTCTATGGTGTATTTTCTTACAGATTGATAACAAGGGGAATCACCTTCTAGTCCACGAGGAATCATCCATTAATGTCCCTGCTATTGCGGCTGCCCATGTTATTAAAAGATACATTGCTCAGGCAGCAGATGAACTTTCCTTTGAGGTAAGCAATTGAACAGATATGTATTCCTTATCAAATGCAGCAGGTAGAACTTAGCCTAGGACTGCTTGTGCAGTTATTTAATAAGGATTTTGGGGCATGTTAAATGTTTTCTGGAAGTAAGAGTGAACATATTAAATCAGTCATGTATTCAATAATAATATTTTTGCACATCCTCTAGCCAACATTCTAAAAATTCAATACTGAGGAGTCCTGCAGCAATTATCTTTGCATATATAACATAACCAGAAAAATGTTTCCTCTGTGGTTTTGTGTCCCATGCTCATTAAACAATATGTCTGCTAAGAAAATGGGCATTGAGAACAGATTTGTATAAGTACTTTCCCCGTGTTTAGGCATGAAAATAAGTGACCCATTTTCACCCCTCTTCCTTCCAAAGAAGCTTATTGTGCTCAGTTTAGAGCTTCTTTTAAACCCTGGACACAAGCCTCACACTGGCAGCTGGGCTGAGTATTTGAATGAAAATATTCCCCTGACTGCTTTTGAAAACTTGATCCTTTTTAGCTAATGCCCATTGGGTGCTCTGCGTATGTTCTGATTGCTTGCTTGCCTGTGCTGCTATCATCTGTTATGCTCTGAGGCAGTATTCTTCAGAATCTTAAGGAATGTACAAACAGCTGTTCATTGGATGTTTCGAAACATCGCCTTTCCATTTGTAGTATCTGGGGAAATGCATAATAAATTGGATATTATTTTCCCAGTTAAGATATATGCACACTATTAGAAATTAACGGTTTAATCGCTGATGCCATCATCACAATAGTAACCAATCTTGGTACAATTCAAAGGAACATTCAATGTTCTGCAATTAAAATCAGTTTTCATTTATCAGCCTCTCTCAACTTGAAACTAGTGCAAATGTAATGCTAATGGATATGTTATAAATATGGCTTAGAGATAAGATATGAGCAGCAGAATTGCATGCCCTCTCCCCGATGCAAGTTTACCTGCCACCACTCTGAAACCTGGTTTTGCATCAACAGTAAGAGTGCCAAGGTTTCCTTGAACCAGGATTTGCAGGCCAACTATTAAAACAATGAATCCAGAGCTAAAGTGGTACCTCAGGTTAAGAACGGACCTCCAGAATGAATTAAGTTCTTAACCCAAGGTACCACTGTAATAGGAAATCAAAGCAACAGGTTCTTGTTAAAAGTTTGGATAATGCCCCCTATCCCAGGCTTCTGTTGCCATAGCTAATCATAGCATCTTCCTGTGTGAGAGACAGATTACATGACTAAACATATCATACAGTAGGATATTGTCAGTGCAACTCTTGATAAATATCAAATTTCTTTGTGGCCAAAACATAGCTTAGGGACACGGGTGGCGCTGTGGTGTAAACCACTAAGCCTTGGGCTTGCCAATTGGAAGGTCAAGCGATTTGAATCCCCATGACGGGGTGAGCTCCCGTTGTTTGGTCCCAGCTCCTATCAACCTAGCAGTTCGAAAGCATGTCAAAATGCAAGTAGATAAATAGGTACCGCTCCAGCGGGAAGGTAAACAGTGTTTCCATGCGCTGCTCTGGTTTCGCCAGAAGTGGCTTAGTCATGCTGGCCACATGACCCGGAAAAACTGTCTGCGGACAAACGCCGGCTCCCTTTGCCAGTAAAGCAAGATGAGCGCTGCAACCCCAGAGTTGTTCGCGACTGGACTTAACTGTCAGGGGTCCTTTACCTTTAAAACATGGCTTATAGAACCGGAATCATAGAATTGTAGAGTTGGAAGGGACCCTGAGGGTCATCTAGACCAACCCCCTGCAATGCAAGAATTTCAACACATTGCCCTCAATCCAATTTGAAACCATACCGAACCCTGCTTCACGTTGCAAATGTACTGGCAGTTTTATGGCTGCAGCACTTGGTACAAACCCCTCTAAAGCACTTTGGGTGGCCCACAGATTCCTATTAAATGCTTGAAAAGCTTGGCTTTCTTTTTTTTTTTAATGCATACCTCCTGGTGGCAGAGATAAGCTTAAAAAGATGAGTGCAGTGTGTCTGAAAGGCTCAAAGGGCAAATAATAAGAACCTTACATGCATAGATGAAGTCTTGCTGGTGTCATTGGCAAGCACTCAGTGACTCGTGCAAACTACTTTAAATGTTTTATGTTAGACAAGTCATCTCAAAGGAATACTTAAATGCCTTCTCTCATCTTTCCATCCTGCTGATGTAACATCACATTTCTTTAATGCATTGTTAACTTGGAGGAGCATATCACACTCAACCTCATGGTGGGTGGGGGGGGCAGCACTGGTCCTGGGCAGAGGAGATAATACATAAGTGAGTACCAGTTGTTCATTTTTTAAAAAGTTCATTTGTTCAAATTTTCTTCCCACATTTGTTCATGATTCTGAGGTGTATTCCTCCTCAATTTGCATTTTAATCAGAACAGCTTTGGGCCTTTTAACTACTACTAAATGCATCACCCTTGCAAATATGTTAAAATGTGCATTGTATGGCATTGATAATGCATTAGCTCATATTTTGTAAGTGTTGATGCCATAGATAGGCAGAGACTGGTGCTATATGTTCATAATGGTGATTTTTTAAAATAGTCCTATAGAAACTGTACTTTTATTAACAAAATGTTTTTCAAAATAAAGTAAGAAAATTATTTATGCTGTGCCTTTCTAGGTGGGAGACATTGTGTCAGTCATTGACATGCCTCCAAAAGAATTGACCACTTGGTGGAGGGGAAAGCATGGATTTCAGGTACACTCAGCTGTTAGATTAGTTAATATTTCAGAAGCTATTGGATGAATTTTGTCAAATTATTACTGATAATAATAGACTGTTATCTAATGCAATTATAATGCACTGTTTCCTGAATCTGGGAAACACTATAAAGACTTGAAAACGTTCCTTCGAATCCTGAGCAAAATATGGACACGACAAAGCTAGATATGAGACGAGCTGGACCCTCAAAGTATCCCTAGTATAAATAGGTACCATGATGCCCCCTTTTTTTCTAAAACTGTCTGGCTGTAGAGAAGAGAAGTGTCATACATTCAGAGAGGATTGGAACTGGCAGGGCACCCTGCCTCTGCAGAGCCTGGAGAAGAATTTCGACTCAATTCTTGGGATTAAGTTGAGGCTGTCATTTGAACTGGATTGGGCAGAGATGTCAAAAGATTGCTCATAGGAGTGGACTCCTTTGACTTTAATAGTTTTGCAGAAATGAGAATGTATAGACAGGTACATTTTCTGCTGCTACTACTTTGGGAAGAGTTGCACTTAAAATCCCCACATTCTTTGCAGTTGTACGGCAGAATCGAGGAAACCGACTCCTTGTTTCTATTGCTGTGTGGGAGTGGAAATGAGGCTGGGGAAACTACCTGAGCTGCCCACTGTTTCTTTCCCTTTCCCCTTTTCTTTAGCCTGAGTTTGCTTGCTTGCTTTTCTTTGTCAGATTAGCTTTATTGAAGAGGCAAATAAACTACTGTTAAAATAAGCACCAGACTTGGACTTGTGGGACAACTGCCTCTCTGTTTCAGCATGCACTTGCCCCATTCAAATATAAAGCAGGGCTGGGTGGGAGGTCTGCCCTTTATGCAAAAGGATGCAGGGGACAGGAGTGAACCCCACTCCTTGCCCTTTCCCTAGTGTGCTGATTTTAAGTAGCCCGCTCACCCCCAGCAGAGCCCAGTTGTGATACCAGAAGAACACAGCAAAGTGAGGTGAGAGAGGGGTGGGATTTGCTTCCCTATGATGCTCATTATTGTGTAAACCCTCTTTATATGTGGATGAGCAGACATGTGGTTGCCCCACATGGCAAATTTGATCCTATAGAGCAGGGGTCAGCAAACTTTTTCAGCAGGGGGCCAGTCCACTGTCCCTCAGACCTTGTGGGGGGCTGCACTATATTTGGGGGAAGGGGATGAACGAATTTCTATGCCCCACAAATAACCCAGAGATGCATTTTAAATAAAAGCACACATTCTACTCATGTAAAAACGCTGATTCCTGGACCGTCTGTGGGCCGGATTTAGAAGGTGATTGGGCTGGATCTGGCCCCCGAGCCTTAGTTTGCCTACCCATGCTATAGAGACAGAAGTCATAAGCCCTGTCATGGATACTAGTTCGCCAGCCAGCAATTGTATGGTGCTCTTTCTAGAATAGTAACACATGTACTAAACCATCACTATGTCCAGTTTGTTTTTTTATTTCACACATACCATATAGAAGCAATGTGCTTTTTAAAAAAAACAACCTGTGAATACTATGGAATGCACAAATATAGTTTAGGCTTGAGTGTTTTAGTGTGTTGTATAGAGGGAAAAGGATTAAGGCCTTTAAAAGCAAAATAGCAGAACTGATCAGTGGTGACATGCAGCCCCAAGGACCATCAAGAAGGGAAATTAGAAGTGTTATGAAAGACCTTAAAATAGAATGTACATAGACAGCAGTAGTACTGAGCAAGGCAGAAAGCAAAATTAAGAAGGTAACGGATATAAATTAGATAGAATGTATTAAGTGCCAGGAATAGTCTAAACCAGTCCATGACAGTAAGCATCATGCTGGATCTTATTTAATTTTGCTATTACTAGTCAGAGATTAAGACATTTGTCATTTTTCTACCCAGTGTTTGCAAGACCGGTTTTCTCTTGTACATTGATGGAGGAAGCAGTTATCATTCTAAGTACAGAAGGCTTATAGTACACTTGTGTGTCATGGTTGCGCTTCAATGTGTTTTTTCACAATATGGGTTGTGTTTTGATCATATATACAGAGCTGCTGCAACCATATGCCAAGCATTTAGCTGTTTGTTTTTTGCTGTTGAGAACACTGGCCAAAAAGCAGCTAATCCAGAATGAGGCAACTGTGAATATAAGATTTGAGTTCAGAGCTATAAAATTAAAATACATTTTCCTGGTCCTGGTGAGTGGTTTATGACAAGGGTGTGCACAGACCTAAGATAAGGATTTCTTTTGATCATTTTGAACCCTCTGGCTCTGATTAGTTAAACAAAAAAAGTCTTAACCTTATAGTCCATATTCCAAAATAAGCTGTGTGGAAAACTCTCATTTAAGTCCGTTCCTTTAAATGCATTCACACATTTTGTGGAGAGCTTTTAACTGAAGCTTTAACAAAATGCAATGAGAAAAAGAAACACCAACTTGGCTGGCAAAGGATGAATGGAGCAGATTATTCCTCAGCCACCCTGTTCACTCACCTGCATGTAATTCCTGGTCACCTGCGGTTGTTTTATGTGGTTTAATTTTTTTATGGTGGCAAAAAGTTGCATTTGTGACTAGCCCGAGAAATACACTATTTGCCTAGTTGTTATAAAAAGAAAAGAAGAAAGTTAGAATAAACCACTTTCTTTACACTTGGTGAACTAGCCTTCTAAGAACCATCTCTTATTTGTATGTGTTTGGACCGTAAGTATATCCAGAAAGCATGTAATGGGAGCATAGTGAGCAACATGAATTTAAAAAGCAGTTATATTTTATAACAAAGAATATAATCTACAGGATTACGCCTGAATTGTTTAAATATTGTGGTGTTGTGCAAATAGCCCCTTTTACTGCAAAGCTATTAGAACATGACTTTACGTGTGATTCTATTCTTAAATATGCTGCAGACGTGAATTTCCATCTGTCTCTCTTTGTCACAGGTGGGATTCTTTCCTAGTGAATGTGTTGAGCTAATTAATGACAAAGTTCCTCAGTCTATGACCAATTCTGTGCCAAAACCAGGTATGTGTGTATTATATTTTAAACAAATGCATATAATGTGACAGAATGTTGATGTTAAATCCTTTCTACAGTGTCTCACTGCATTCACTCAAATATTTATTCCACTGATGTGTTCTTTCATATTTATTGATCACCCATTCAAAACTATTTCAGTGTATGCATTCCATGATACAAGTATGTTTCAGTGTACCCTTTCTGCTATTTCACAGTTTTGATTTAATTTCTCAGTGGTTTGATTTTAATATTAGTATATGTTTTGTAAGATTTCTGCATTTTGTATAACTGCTGCTAGACAGTGTGGTGGTTAGTGTGCTGTAATGTTTCTTCTGTTCGTGTACATTTTCTGTCAGTGTTTATTTCTTGCCATATAAAAAAGATCCCTTCAGCCTGGATTCTAATGATACTTGGCTTTGCAATTTAAGCCAAACTAACCTATGATGCGGGGGACGCGGGTGGCGCTGTGGGTAAAACCTCAGCGCCTAGGACTTGCCAATCGCATGGTCGGCGGTTTGAATCCCCGCGGCGGGGTGCGCTCCCGTCGTTTGGTCCCAGCGCCTGCCAACCTAGCAGTTCGAAAGCACCCCCGGGTGCAAGTAGATAAATAGGGACCGCTTACCAGCGGGAAGGTAAACGGCGTTCTGTGTGCTGCGCTGGCTCGCCAGATGCAGCTTGTCACGCTGGCCACGTGACCTGGAAGTGTCTGAGGACAGCGCTGACTTCCGGCCTATAGAGTGAGATGAGCGCACAACCCTAGAGTCTGTCAAGACTGGCCCGTACGGGGAGGGGTACCTTTACCTTTACCTTTTAACCTATGCTGCACCTACTTTACCCTCTGCTTCAACCCATCTACTTGCTGATTGATAGTGGAGTTTATTTGTTTATTTCTGTGAATTTATGCTAATTTAAAACTTATTTCCAATCTTAAAACATCAATAAAAACAAGAAAACACACACACACACACACACACAAATACGCACACACACATATATATATATATATACACACAAAATACACACACACACCATGTGTAATAGTAAGCCATGCACCCTGCTCTAAAGTATCTGCTCTAGGTTTATATAGTTTTAAGAGTACTTTGGAGTTGCAATGTTTTGTCTTTTACAAAAATGTGAAAATAGATTGGTGCCTTAGGCTTACCAGTTGGTGCCTCAGGCTTACCACTTTGAATGATGACCTGTCTTATATGCACGGTATTGATGTATCCCTAAGGATTAGATTATTCAAAGATATTACAAAACCAAATTACTGGTAATCCATTGCTTTAGAAATAAATCCTTGGTGGGTAAATTTAGTATACCTCCTTCCATCTTTTGATCTAATTCCTGGGGCCCTCTTTCCTACATGTTTTCTATAGAAATTGATTATTCCACTTTGTGTGCAAAATATTTGAGGCTTATTTTGCAATTGTGGTAACAGTTGTGCAGACATCTTGACATGCCAAGTGGTTTTAGAGTTCAAAAATTAATTGAATTTTTAGCTGGATAGATGTGGGATTGCATGTTCTTCCGTTATAGACAGACCCACATCATACATTTAAAGCTCGTTCAATACACATTTAAAGCACATGATCCCCCCCCCAGGTATTCTGGGAAATGTAGTTTATTAAGGGTGCTGAGAATTATGGATCTGCGAGGGGGAAACTACAATTCCAAGGATGCTTTGGGAAGTCATCTGCTTTAAATACGCATTTGATATGCTTTAAATGGAAGGTGTGGATCTGCTCAAAAAGTATTGAAAGTTAATAACTATCTTAAGAATAGCATAAAATTTATTTATTTCTAAGAAAAAGTTACTGGCATTCAGAAAGAAGCCAAAACTCCTTGTTACATATTGGCTTTGAAATACACTTAAAGTTCTAGCTCTGTTGTTCCTAAAATGAAAGCCCAGCATTAGGCCAGATCCTTTCCTATATAAATGCAGATTTAGTAATCACTGTGTTATTAGTACAGATTCCATTTTTTGTCAAGTGAGCTTCTGTTTTGCTTTTAGTTTCCTTCATTTTTAAGATACCTAAAGAAATACTGTTTTTGAAAATTATATGTATGAATAAAACTAGGTGCAAGTAACATGATCATGCTATGAAACAGGGATAGAAACCATGGGGACCTCTAAATGTTGTTGGACTCCAGTTTTCATCCTCCCCAGACAGCATAGGCAGTGGTCAGAGATGATGGCAGTTGTAGTTCCACAGTATCTGGAGGGTCACAAGGTCCCCACCCCCACTATAAAGGGACAGTGATCTCCACCTGCTACTGTCCTTCTCCCTCCCACCCCACTGAGAAGGCAAGGGGCGGGATGTCTGCTAGCTATGATGGGTGATGCTACTAGAAAGTGGCTACTAGCCTTGATGGCTGTGCTCTGCCTCTAGTGTTGAAGACAGTATGCCTTTGAAATTTCAGTTGCTGGGAATCATGAGCGTGCAGAGCATTGCCGCACTTAAGGTCCTGCTATGGACAGTGGTACCTCGGGTTACATACGCTTCAGGTTACAGACTCCGCTAACCCAGAAATATTACCTCGGGTTAAGAGCTTTGCTTCAGGATGAGAAGAGAAATCGTGCAGTGGCGGTGCAGTAGCAGCAGGAGGCCCCATTAGCTAAAGTGGTGCTTCAGGTTAAGAACAGTTTCAGGTTAAGAATGGACCTCCGGAATGAATTAAGTACTTAACCTGAGGTACCACTGTATAGCATTTCCTGGGAAGGTGCAGTAAAAGAAAGGTGTGCCTGCACCATGTGCAACCCTGGATCCCAGCTGCTGTCCTTCATTTTTATGGATGTGATATGTTTTTTTAAAAAGAGGTGGAAATAGTAGTAGTAATAATAATGAAAAAAACAAACAACTGTAGAGGGTACAGAGGTCACGGTTTATTCCTGTCATAAAACCCCTGGAAAGAAATGTTCAGGTGTCCTTCTGTGCTCTCCCCGCCCCAATATTGCAGGCAGGACTGCAAATCTAGTTAAGCTTGCTGACAGTGCCAAATTTATTCCTTATAGGAAGTGTCTGTCATGCTTTCTATCTGTATGGCTCTAAAGTGGTAAGGGAAATACAAATACTGCTCTTTTAATGCAACTTGCATTGCTTGCCCGAACAGTATGTGTTCCTTTATGATGTATAATTCCATTACTAGTGGTGTAGGGAATAAGGATGGGGAAGGCGTTTCTGTCCTCCTCACCTTGCCCAGTCTGTAGTTTTGTGCAAATAGGTGTCAACTTTTTTCTTGATCTCTTCTATTCCTTTTCCATATTTATTTTGTCTTTTGTAGCACATATTATCCACTTTGTATAAATGCTCTACATGTGTTCTTATTAACACCAAGCATGTTGCTCATCTCATTCTACATCTGCCTTGTATGTTGTCTGGGGAGTGTTTTTAATATGACTGATTTTAGAATGTTCCTTGATTATCTTTGTATAGTTGAGGGATTCTAATAATAGCATATTAACAAAGTTACAAGGTGCACCTTGGAGTTCCTTGTACAGAAAAGGAGAGGTTCCTTCAACCTTTTTCAAACTTTTTGTACATTCCATGTTGGTGTGATAGTACTTGAATAAAGTATTGATTCAAATTAATCCTTGCAGTGCATAGTTAAATGCTAATATCTCATTGCATCTGATAAATTGGCATTTTGTCTACCAAAGGTAATGAATTTGGTATTTTTATGTGTGTTTGTTCATATATGTCTTTGTGTTTCGGTATTAATTGATATAAATTAAAATTGGTTTGCTAAGGTTGCTTACAGAGATTTTTTTCAAGATGTTTGGACTTGACAGCCACTTGGAATAATGGCACAACCTGGCTTTTCTGCTGTAATTAGATGGTTGTCCTCAGCTCCCTGTATGGCATTACCATACAAATGCCCCCATGTACTGGTTAAAAAGTTAAATCCTAGGTATGAACAGCTGCACATGAAGGGCTGTCTGACATACGCAGCAATTTCAAGCTGCCCCCATGAAGCAAATAGTTGAATCAGTCCATAAGCAAATATTTTAATTCAGCTGACTGCTATTGTTGTGTTGTCATTGGGAAGGGTTGGGGGTGCAGGGCACTGGGCTAGAACTAAGAACTCTGGTTTCCTTCCTGGCTCAATATGACCACCTGTCACTACATAATCCTACATTTATATTTTCATTCCTGAAAACCAGCAGACATGTACATGCCTTCCTTTCTGATAGACAAAAGGAAGCAGGGTGGGGAAATTCAAAGTGTCCTCAATACAAACAAACATGGTAGTCTCTCTTGCAGGGTGCTTTGTACTGTCAGCTCCTGAAAAACCTCTGTCACCTCGTAGGTTTTGTTTAGCCTGTCCCTCTGTATGATTTTAGTTCTAAAAGAAGCTCCTGTGAAATCCTTGAGGCCGCTTCCTCCTCAAATGTTAGGGGTATTACGTTGAAGTGAAATTGGATGCTGGACAGTTCATATGAGGGTTTAAATGGACAATGTCACAGTGGTTAAATGTGCTCTAAGATGCAATAAAATTCATTAGGATATTGTTTCTGGATTAGGAATTGTTACTAACATACATCTGAAACAGAATGTCTTAAATTCTGTGTGTGTTTAATTTATTTTAATTTTTTTTTTACTGGACTCTTTAAGAGGTGTTTAAATAATCATAAAGCAATATTGCAATATAAACCCATTATGGATTAATTAAAAACACGAACCTATTGAAGCACCACTTTTGTAACCTCTGTAGGAACGGAACCACTTTAACACAGTGACTCCACTCCCACCGTGTGCAGTTGGTCCAGAAGGATGTTGTAGTTAATGGTATAGAGAAATGCAGAGGGCTATGTATGGGGTAATCATGAGCTATAGGATAGTCAAGAGGGTCTTACTTTCCCCCACCATCTTTTGATGAAGACCATCAACCAGAAGGGAGACAGTTCTAATCCTGAACCCCACCTGGAAGCCAGATCAAAATCAAGTTGATTTGTTTCATCCAGGGCTCTTGCAACTGTACAACCAGTCAGATGCACCACTTTCACCAGGAAAGGGAGGTTTTGTGTAGGTTTATAATCCCCCCAAAATCATTAATCTGTCATGCCCAGTTCGTGGTTGTTCAAACCATGTGGCAATTGTGGCAAACTAAGTGGCAGTTTTCACTTTCATTGTGTTTCCCCCCTCCATTTGGCAATGTCTCAAGAAAGAAATGCACAAACAGAAATAAATAAAAGCATCTGTGTTGCCTTCAGTTTCACTAAATCTGGTTTGGTGGGGGAAAGAGTCAAGTGGGCAGATGGCTGAACTTGTTTATAAATGCAATGAAATTTTTTGAATGTTTAGCATCGAATGTTTCTTTGTTTGGAAATGTTGCACTTGAAGTTGTTGGAATGATCATCATCACGTCACTTAATTCTTCTGTCTAGAAGCCCAGGATATACATCCATTTTGTTGATTCACTCCCAATTTAGTGCTGTACCATACGAAGTCCCATTTGATTTCAGAAAAGATTTGGACAACTATGGCATTTTAAGTGCCTCACTCTTATTTATTTATTTATTTATTTATTTATTTATTTATTTATTTATTTATTTTCTAATTAAATTTCTGCACCATCCTTCATCTGTGGATCACAGGGCAGTTTACAATATGGCAACACAAAAGTCCTCCTGGGGGAATTACAAAGGAAAGATTGTGTGTGGGCCCCTCCAGTCTTTTAAAATGAAAATGTCCTGCTTTTATAATGGTTGTCCGTTTTAATAATTAATTTTCTTTTGAATTGTACTTTCTCAGTCTCCCCTGCCCATGGAGCCCGTCCAGCGTCCTGGAGCTACTTCCCCCCTTGTACGTTTCCATTTATTTCATTTTTCTCTATCTCATCGCCTTTAGTATTATTCAACTGAATCGTTACCTGTTTGGGAGATGTGCAGAGACATCAGAGTGGGATTTATTGCTTTTATTTTTCCACAGAATGCCTTTAAAATTTTGAAGTGTAAAATAAATGTGGGTTGGAGTGTGAAGGACAGAAATAGTAGCAACAATCACTCTTCTTTTTCTCCAAATTCTCAGAATAAATCTCAGATTGTTAGGGTAGTCAGCTGTAGTCTCATTTGGAGTCCATGCAATCAGTATCTGTGAAATTATATCCCAGAATCAGAGATACAGGATCTCAAAAGGGTTTGCTTTGAAAAATTGCTATATTGTCATGTACATTTTCCAAATGTTTTTTTTTTAATTAGGCTCTATCACAAAAATATGTAATAGTTTAATGCCAGGTTTTTCAAACAGCTGTTTTTGGGGACTACAACTCCCATCACCCCTAGCTAGCAGGACCAGTGGTCAGGGATGATGAGAAACAGCTGGAGACTCAAATTTTGGAAACCCTAGTTTAGTGTATTTTGTAATAAGACTTTTGTTTTTGTTTCACAATCTTCATAATGGAGAGTGAAAGCATCTGCCTCAGCCTCTTTCCCTATAGTAATGTTTGATTGCAATGGAGAGGCAGTGGTGGTCAAGAATTGCACAGGCATATTTCAAGGCCTTTTTCACAGTGTAACCTCTGCCACCATGAAGGAATTGATTTCATCATAATACATTTTTGTTAAATGCTTTAGAAAAACAGTCTTACAATATTTATAATATTAATTACTTTCATCAGAGGCTGTAGCAATAGTGGAAAACCATAATCGTGTCCTAGACTTTGGTCCAGGATCCTGTCAGCAGGCCAGATCCTGACCTCCATCAACTTCTGGAGGCCATTTTAACTCCATCCACTTGTCAATTGCCTAAATTCAGATGAAGCCCTTCCTTTTGCCTGTGCAATTTGAAATTAAGCCACATGGACAAAAAGACCACAGCCAATCTTTTGCAAGGGTAGAAATCACAAAGAGGAAGTATCACAGGAGACAGATTGGCAATGTGCTCATGTTTTCAGCAGAACTATGGAGTAGGAGAACCCTTTTCTTCTGCCACTATTGGTAATTATAGCAGAGCTGTGCTGCAACAGGGTGGATCTGTGTTGTGGTATTGAGGTTAAAGTGTGTGCATACATGCACACTCCCTTTCAGTGGCTGGCCTCATCAGTGATAGGGAATATGAAGTAACTCTTCATCAAACTGAACATGTCAGTATGGACTTTCTTGAAATCTCTTAGTTGTGGTGAAAGAGGGGAAGACATGGGCTATTTCTCTATGCCATGTAGCTCAATTGCATTATGGGGGTGGGGAGCTTTTAATCAGGTGTGAGGGATCTTTAATCCTTCAGATATTGTTTAACTATAATGCCCACCATATCTGGTAATTGATTATGGCTGCAGGGGCTGATGGGAGTTTTAGTTCAGCAATATCTGAGGGGCAAAGGGTTCCCCACACCTGGCCTCAACCTTCAGCCTATATTACTTCCTTCCTTAGTGTCAATAGATAACAACACTGCTGCCCATCAGTTATTCAGTCAAATGTGAAAAATCATTTTTGTAAGAAACTTTTTTAAAAGGAAGTGTCCAGGAGGTAACTTATAGTTCTTCCGCACAACAATTTAAACATTGTGGTTTTCCTTATTTTTAGCAACCATAGATCCTAGATCTGTGACTAGGATCACAATTGTTGGATTGGTGTGTGGTTGCCACACTTTGACTCCATAGCATTGGGCATTCACAAATATATTTGTGTGCCAAAGTGGATATATTCCACCACAACTCTGGTTGGGTGCATTAGGTAGGGTTGTAGCTGTACTTTTAAAACATGTATTAAAGCACTCATTCTCTGTAACATAATCTTAGATCCTTTTGGCCATGGGAATTGATGCATCTGAATTCATCTGTTGTGGGTGCGCTTCTTACATCTAAGCAATAAAAAGGCCACGAACATTTTCCCCGTAAAGGAAAGTCCTGGCAGATGTTGGTCAGAGTCAGACTGATGACATGGTGGCATTTACTGTAGTTAGAGGTAGATAGTAAGTTCTGACCAAGGGTCTCATTTCTGTTTTACGTGCATATATGTAGAAACAATTCAAACCAATTTTATTCTGGAGCTTAAAATAAGCAGCAGAGATTTGAAGCTATTCTATGCTATTACTATCTTGCAAATCAAGTTGCTATTGACCAGCATGTTAAAATTTATTTTTTTGTCCTTTCTTGCCTCATCCCACCCCCCCAAACCACATGCAGATTTGGAGATGGATAGTGTAAAGCCAGGTTCAGCATGTGTTTCAGAGCCTCTGAACTATTCCCAGCTGAGCTCAGGTAGAGCATGTCGCAGTCAACTGTAGACTCTTAAGTGTACTAACCCTGAGTCTAACATTGTGTGTTCTAGCAATAATACCTATTAATGGATATAGATTTGGTGTTAGAAGATAGATTATAGTTCTAGTTATGTCTGGACACTTGTTATCTAAAAGTTGGGGAAAGAGCCTAACATCCAGGTGATGGTGTAATATTTCTCTTGGCAGGTGCCATGGAAATCAGTCAGTTCACTAGTCATTTTCCGCATGTCCCACCCCCACCCGAATGGATTCATAGGCACTATGAATCCTGCAAATTTGGGTGTCTCTGTGTGTTTGTGAACCTTGAATTATACTTAGCTGCTGTTTCCTTGAGGTGTGGTTATAAGTGTGTGTGTGTGTGTGTGTGTGTGTGTGTGTGTGTAAACTGTGGTGTATATACACACAAATACAAATGTGTATGAACACATACCAAAGCAGATATGTTGCCTGCCACTGGAAACTTTGTTCCAAGATTGAGGAGAAGACAGAGGGAGGGAAAAGAAGAGAGAAGAAATATTGTTGAAACTCTGTAGTTTAGCAGCAGCTCAAATGACCATATTATGTACACAGCTGCAAAGCTATAAGTAGAAACTGCTGTTGCTATAGTTGTCTTGACTACATTGCAAGAATCTCCAAAGATGTATTGGAATAAAATTATGCAAAACACAGTTATGTGACTAATCTTTGCTATATTAAAATAGCTTTTTAGAGCCATTCGTTTAGACACTTTTTAGTGCAGCTCATACTGTTTGTTTATAATTTGGGAAGATATAGGGTAGCTGTAGGAATATGAAGCCTTGTATTTATTTTGATATATTCTGCTTGTAAGATAACAGCCATTAACCTGAGTCCTATTTAAGGGCTGAAGTGAAAATAGAAGTTACCTTCTAACTGCCAGAATCAATTTCTCTGATTTGACATTAAAGACGCCCTTATTGGGATCTACTCAGCCCCTTCTCTCCACTTTGCTTTGGACCAAAGCAACATACCAGGCTATTGTTCAGGAACTCCACAGTGGTATCCAACAAGTTTCCTCAGTACAAGCTGCTCACCCCAAAGAGCAGAAGTAAGCTCTGGCCACATGATGCTCTGTGGAAAGGAGTGGGAGATGTTGGCCTAAAACAGCAGCGAGCAAGAGAGATGAAGCATTTAACTCAGCCTTCCCCAAGCTAGTGCCCTCCAGATGTTTTGGATTACAACTCCCATCAGCTCCATGTGCTGGCTGGGGCTGATGGGAGCTGTAGTTTAAAAGATCTGAACACTAGGTTGCAGAGGGTTATTTTATCTCATCACAACTAACAGTAAAGTTCTTTTTTTTACCAGAACAACCTTTTACCCAAGTAAGTAAAACAGATGGTGGCTGAGAGAGTAAATGATGGCTATTCTACTTTATTAGTATTTTCATTAATAAATCACTTATTGATTTGTAAAGTGCTTTACAATTTGGTTACAATTTCGGTCTGGTTCATCATTGTTGCAAAGCTCTGGCAAGGTCAATAGATGGAGAACTGAAGTTGAGAGAGGGTGATTTAGTCAATACAGACACCCTTGATGAGCATGGATCTGGACCTGGCTCCCGGTGCTGAGCTATACTGAGGTCCAGCGCCAAGGGTCTTCTGACAGTTCCCTCACTGAAAGAAATGAGGTTATAGGGAACCAGGCAGAGGGCCTTCTCAATAGTGGCGCCCACCCTGTGGAACTCCCTCCCATCAGATGTCAAGGAAATAAACAACTACCTGACTTTTAGAAAACATCTGAAGGCAGCCCTGTTTTGGGAAGTTTTTAATGTTTGATGTATTTGTTGTGTTTTTAATATTCTATTGGGAGCCGTCCAGAGTGGCTGGGGAAACCCAGCCAGATGGGTGGGGTATAACTAATAATAATAAATTCTTCTTCTTCTTCTTCTTCTTCTTCTTCTTCTTCTTCTTCTTCTTCTTCTTCTTCTTCTTCACTCTGTTATCTTACAGACACTTTTGAGCATTATCCTGTGTGATTAGTCATTACACCACAATGTGTGTGATCTGTAAAATCTAAGCTGATTGTTTTTAAACAAAGCAAAAATATACTCACAGCTCAACTTTTCACACACAACCTTTATTTACTGGTAGACATATTTCTTTAAGCAATTAAATTGTCACACCTTGCAGGCGTTCATTTAGGCCTCTTTTCCTCTGCATTGCTTGAAGTGCTGATATCATCCTCTTCTTTTTCACATTTGCTCATTAATTACTTTAACAGCAGTGCTTTGAAGATACAGTCTAAGGTATTTAGCAAGTAACAGACGCTAGGCTTCATTACTTTCATTATTGGCACAACTAAGAGAGTCTGTGTATATAACAGGATTTCTGCCCTTGGTGCTGAACTCTGGAGTCAGTGTTGAACTTCAGGATGTTAACTGTGATGTCACAACAATAATCCTTTTTCAACTACTCACCCCAGGTGAGCAAGTAGTTAATTGTGTAGCCCTAAACTATCACAATCACAGAAGTCATATAATCCCAGTCTCCACGCAAATCCATTCTGCAATCCCCACAATTTGCCAAAAGATTGTTTTAACCCTGAAAAGGAGAGGCAGTATGGTGATAGAGAACTGCACATAGACAAAACTGGGCAAACTGTGTTGACATCCCTGTTCAGTCCCAGCGCTTATTGGCTAATTGTGAGTGAGCCACTGCCTTTCAGCATAACTTCTCACACAGGGATGCTGTGAGAGGCTCATCATAAGAAAAACCATGACTTATGAATTGTCCCAGAAAACTAAGTTGTAATGAAACATTGTAAATATTTAAGTTTCAAAACCGTAATTCTTCTGATCCCCTTCAATCTCAGATCTATTTAAGGCATGGAGGGGGGTGAGAAGGAAGGTTTTCAATGTTTGAATTAATTACACAAATGGTCAGCATGTTTCCAAGCTGTCAACATAAAATGGTGCCAAATCAAATTAAGCATGGTACACAGTCAATTTGTATTCACCATACTTTCATATAAATGAACATGACAGCAACAAATGAGGTTCTAAATGCAAAAACCTACAGTCCCATAATGTAAAAAGACAGAGAGTGTGTGTATAATGGTGGACCAAGGCTGAATTAAAATAAGGCACACTGAAGTATATGCTTCTTAGGTGCACAGAAGACCACCATTCTGCAAATAACGTGCACAAATAATCACTGTTTATAGCAATATATTTTTCACATTTACAGATCTGAACTTTTTCTCATTTGGTGGGTGGGTGTTTGTTTTATCCAGAATGATAATTGGTGTTCTTGAAATCTGTTATTTTTCCATGTAATCTCATTTATTAAAAGTGTATAATGGCAGAGCAATCTTAAATGGGGTGGTGGTAAAAGTAAAATAGTAGATTGAACCCAATTGGGCAAGGGGATAAACTACACAAATTTCAATTTGGTGCTGAAGGAACAAAATGGCTTTGAATTCTGAGGATCCAAGGTTGGCTCTGCCCTGCCTGCACACACACACACACACACACACACACACACACTCCAATCTCGTCTCCTTTCAGGGTTCCTGCTGAACCACAGAGTTGAAAATTGGCTAACAGGGAAAGCTTTAGTAGTCTGTCCTTCAGTCATTCAATGCTACAAGTGTCATATGCTTCCCTTTAAACCAAGGGTCGGCAAACTTTTTCAGCAGGGGGCCGGTCCACTGTCCCTCAGACCTTGCGGGGGGGGGGGCAGACTATATTTTTTGGGGGGGGAATGCCCCACAAATAACCCAGAGATGCATTTTAAACAAAAGGACACATTCTACTCTTGTAAAAACACGCTGATTCCTGGACCTTCCACGGGCTGGATTTAGAAGCCGATTGGGCTGGATCTGGCCCCTGGGTAGTTTGCCTACCCATGCTTTAAACAAAATACTGAGAAATAGAATTACGTGTCTGGAAGCGGTTGGAGAATGGATGGTGGCTAACAGATTGAGGTTGAATCCTTACAAGACAGAAGTACTCTTTTGGGGGGACAGGGGGCAGGTGGGTATGGAGAACTCGCTGGTCCTGATTGGGGTAACTGTGCCTCTGAAGGACCAGGTGCACAGCCTGGGAGTCACAGCTGTCCATGGAGGCTCAGGTCAATTCTGTGTCCTGGGCAGCTGTCTACCAGCTCCATCTGGTACGCAGGCTGAGACCCTACCTGCCCGCAGACTGTCTCACCAGAGTGGTGCATGCTCTGGTTCTCTCCCGCTTGGACTACTGCAATGTGCTGTACGTGGGGCTACCTTTGAAGGTGACCCAGAAACTACAACTAATCCAGAATGTAGCAGCTAGACTGGTGACTGAGAGTGGCCGCCAAGACCACATAACACTGGTCCTGAAAGACCTACATTGGCTCCTAGTACGTTTCTGGGCACAACTCAAAGTGTTGGTGCTGACCTTTAAAGCCCTAAATGGTCTTGGCCCAGTATACCTGAAGGAGTGTCTCCACCTCCATTGTTCAGCCCTGACATTGAGGTCGAGCTCCGAGGGCCTTCTGGTGGTTCCCTCACTGCGAGAAGTGACATTATAGGGAACCAGGCAGAGGGCCTTCTCGGTAGTGGCGCCCACCCTGTGGAATGCCCTCCCACCAGATGTCAAAGAAATAAATATCTAACTTTTAGAAGACATCTGAAGGCAGCCCTGTTTAGGGAAGCTTTTAATATTTGATGAATTATTGTATTTTAATATTTTGCTGGAAGCCGCCTAGAGTGGCTGGGGAAACCCAGCAAGATGCGTGGGGTATAAATAATAAATTACTATTATTACATGTAGCCTTTAGTTTGGCTTTGAGCTTCACAGCTGAGGAGGGATTTGAAAGCAGGTCTCATTGTCTCAGTCTTTGTTAACCTGATATGCTGATTGGATTTGCACTCCAAAACATCTATAGTGCACCAGGATTGCAAAGACTGTTCTATCTAGTACACAAGACATTTTCATTAACTTTGAGGAATTGAATTTGCATAGTGGTTGCATACATGGTAGGCTGC